CACAGGGGCACTTGGGTGGCTCAGATAGTTAAGTGTCCAAGTGTCCAACTCTTGATTTAGGCTCAGGTCATGATCTAACAGTTCCTGGATTCAAGCCCCCCTGGAGCCTGCTTGGGATTTCTCTCTCTCCCTCTCTCTCTGCCCCTCCCCCCACTCACATTTTTTTGATAATAATAATAAATAATAAAAATAATAAACAGCATAGGAACTATAGTTAATGATATTGTAATTATACTGTAGAGGAACAGATGGCAGCTATACTTGTGGAGAGCATAGCATAATGTATAGAGAAGTTGAATCACTATGCAGTACACCTGAAACTAATGTAACATTGTGTCTCAGCTATAGTAAAAAAAATTAATAAAGATAAGTGGGATTTAAGAGAATGGCAACTCTCCCGGTTATTTTACCATGAATTACCGAACAAAGAAATTTGGATCATAGCAGTTAAAGGACCAGTTCACCTCCTTTCCCCTTGCCATGCCCCCTCCCCCACCTTTCCAAATACACACACAAGGAAAGCTTGTGAGTGTCACGGCCTGAAAACAGGCCCAGCAATTTATCAAACCTCCCTTAAATAAGAGACAACTGCCATGGGAATTTTTACCCAGCAATTAGTTGCACTCACAATTTCTATGGCTTTATTTAATTGTAAGCAAAACAAGGCTGACCAAAGCTGAAAACATGGGCCTCTTTATCCTATGACCTCATTCCATTTTAAGGCAACCTACTTCCCTGAACAATCATTCACGTTATTGACCACACCCTTGAACTACAACGTATCAAAGCAACACACCCCTCCACACAGACAAGGAAATTTTTCTGATAGTGTATAAAAATCCTGGCACAGTGAGGGAGCTATCCACAATCTTTGTAACCAAAGAAAAGGGGAAAATATCACCTAAACAAAGATAAGCCCAAGCTGACTAATTATTGATAGCAGAAGTTGTCAATAACACACATAAACATAGATTCTCCCCGGGAAGCTCTCTAGAGTTAAATTTGGTTTCAAGTTTTAAATTCAGAAGAATGGTAACCCATGCAGCACACATATTAAGAGGTCCCTTCTTTCACCAAAACTTATTTTATTCAATAAAATATTGATGGCCAAAGCACAAAATTATATTTAAAAATGAAATGTAGACATATGGAACACTTACAGACCACTTCCTATACATCTATCCTCAACATGGATTTTCTCTAGGATAAGCAAATGGTATTTGTCCAAATAATTACTATGTTTTCTAGATAATAGGCATTTAATAAATATTCAGTTCAATTAATGACTGGTATTAAAAAATATTTTATTTTGGAGACACCTGGGTGGCTCAGTCGGTTAGGCATCTCACTTTGGCTCAGGTCACGATCTCATGGTTCAAGAGTTCAAGCCCTGTATTGGGCTCTGTGCTGACAGCTCAGAGCCTTGAGCCTGCTTCGGATTCTGTGCCTCCCTCTCTCTCTGCCTCTCCCCTGCACATACTCTGTCTCTGTCTCTGTCTCTGTGTCTCTCTCTCAAAAATAAATAAAACATTTACAAAATGTAAAAACACTTTTTTTATTTTGATTCAATTCTCTCTCATGCAAAAGAGCTCCTTTGCATACATGGAAAATATCTTAAACTTCATGAAAAGCTAATTAGTAGATGGGAAACATATATGTTCAGTAATTTTACATCAATGGTATTCATTAAGACAGTTTTTCATTTTGTGTTGATAATGGTAAGCTAATATTTAAGCTTTTTAAAAGGTTGAGTTGTAAAATGTTTTATTTTGTTTTGTGTAGTTTCTAGAACTCCATTTATTTACAAGATTGCGTTCAGTTTTAAAATGCATCTGTGCCTTTGATTACCCCTGTGTTTGATTTTACCTGTCCATATATATAAATCTGGTCATTTTAATTCTAGCATTAATTTATGTAATTTCATCAGCAACTGCTTTCTACATTCAATTTTCTCTGTTCTATCAATAAGATAAAACAACAACTGAGAGAATAATGAAATATATCTATTAATTATAGACGAGAAACAGGGCAACATTATATCTGGAGAAATTTAAAATATTTATATTTATAAACCCCATCTGAGTGCACAAGAAAGCAATAGAGGAAAACAATATACTAAAAAGAAACAGAAAATACTAAAGTGCTGCAAAAAGCATTTGGTTAAATCTAAAATGTCTACTATATAAGCTAACATTAAGATTCAGGAAACAAAGAAGAGTGACAATTTCAGTTTCTCAAAGGGAACATATTTTACTACTGACAAGTATATTTTATTATTTATTTATTTATTTATTTATTTTTAAAATGTGTATTTATTTATTTTGAGAGAGAATGAGCAGGGTAGGGACAGAGAGAGAGGAAGAGAGAGAATCCCAAGCAGGCTCTGAGCTGTCAGTGCAGAGCCCAATGGAAGACTCGATCCCGGGAACCATGAGATCATGATCTGAGCCCAAATCAAGAGTCTGACGCTTGCCACCCAAGCGCCCCTGTTTATTTTATTTATTTTACAGTAAGCTCCATGCTCATCATGGAGTTTGAGCTCACAAACTTGAGATCAAGAGTCACCTGGTCTACTGATTGAGACAGTCATGTACCCCAATTATATATTTTTAAATCTTATGAATTATCTGAATGTCATCCAAAACACCAGAATGCTAAAGGCAATTAAATTAAAAGTTTAACTGAATTTATGGTAAGCAACAATTGATTATAATACACAGGCCTAGCTGCCAGGATGACAAACTCTAGCCTCAGAATAGTTGCTACATACCAACTCAAAATGGCTCTAATGTATGGCATATTAAAGAGAGACTTTATTAAAACATGAAACAAACAAAAAAAGATTTTGAGTAATATGTGCTGTTTGATTTTTCTTGGCATGGTACATAATAAAGCTTCTGCCACATCTTACCCAGGAAGGTAATTTCATATAAAATCTAGGTTCTACTTTACACAATGACATCCTGTTAAGAAATAGGGAGAAAGAAAAATAAAATAGAAGAGTTTCTTCATCACATTGTTTGTGACAGCTACCTAAATAATTCTTGCCAAATTATCTTTTAGTGGATTTGTGAACGCCCTTTGATATCTAATTAGGTTTGAAATTTTATAGTCAAATTTTCTTCTTGTTTCACTAAGGGAATGAAACTTCTTAGTTTTGTCCTTTACTAAATATATAGAATTTCACTTACCTCATCCTCACACAACCTTTTTTTTTTCTTTTCAATTAAAAAAAACTTCAGACTTCACAACATTCTCCATTCCAATCTCTTATCCAAGTTTTTGTGGCAATACTTGATTTCCCTAGGGTTCTTTATAAATTTGTCTATGGGAAACTGTGCTTCAGGATGGCAATAGTCTTATAAGGATTGCTTTAGCAATTTCCAGGTAGAAAGAAGAAAAGTCTTGTAAAAAAGCTTGACCAGCTTGGTCCTGGGATTTTTAAAAAGGACAGTTGAACTAAGGAGTATACAATAAAGTGATCCTAAAATTTGTTCTGTAGTCAATATTTACAATTTGTTAAATTTCCACTCTTAAATTTTTATCTATATTTCCTTTACTAGCAAGTTGACAAGAAAAAGGGTTAATGTTTTTAAATAACTATGACAGGGTGATTTTAGCATTTCTATGATAATAGTAACCTGTTTTTGCATTGTTTTGGGGCTACTAAGGAACATAGATGATACCCACTTTGTTGTTCATTAACATCCTAATACTAAATATTAGAATTTACATTTGCATTATTATTATCAGTTATGCAAAGTAGTATTTTTTTATCTTTATATTTTCTTCCTTTGACTTCAATACAGGTGGAGGTTTTTTCCAACTAGAAAATTACCTACAGTAAATTCTGGATTTTTTCTTCATAATTTTCCCCCCAAATTAAGCTAGGCACAAAATGTCAGTAAAATTGTGGTCTTTGTAGTTGTTGGGTTATCTAGGTCTTTCAAAATTCTTTAAAAAGTTTTATTATATACTTTAGAAATTTTGCTTTATATTCTACTTTACGTTGTGGTTTTTGGGAAAATAACCCATATTATTCCAGATTTATACAAGAATCCAATATCAGATAATATCATCCCAATGGTTGCTTTTTGAACTTTTTACTGTATAAATTTTATCTTGAAAACATAATTTTAGTTTAGACAGATGTTTCCAGAAAGCTTAAATTCATACAAATTTAATGTAAAGGGATTCAAAGAATGAAAACAAACAGAGCTGTTAATTTTACATAGTCTTTCAATGTTCTTTTACATTCATTGGCAAGATTATTAGCACAGATACTAATGCTAAATAGCCCCTTTAAAAGCAAATTTATTTTATTTTAAAGGGTGCCTTAAAGTTCTGCCTTTTTAAACTTTTATATAACAATTACTTACATCTTGCTTTCCTCAGTCCTATATCCACTCTTTCAATCCTCTGTCTGCCAATATTCATAAATTATTCACTTTGGCTATACAAGAACCAGTGTGTTGTTTTCAGAAGATGAAACACATACAGCAATTTGAAATGATATTTGTGCCTATCACTTATCCTGGAGCAGCACACTGTTTGCTGAACACAAATAATTGCTCATCACTCCATATAAGCCATTGCCCCTGTACTACCATATTTGATATTTAAAAAAATCTATTTGTTTCTGAAATCAAGTGAATAAGTGGGAACTTACTCTATAAAAATCATTGTATTCAAGTTGAGGATTGTTTTTGCAGTAAAGGCAAATAAATACTTCGGGTCAGATATTCCAATCAAATCCGACAAAAAATGAGTCATCGTATGCTCTAGTTAGATTATAAAACTCACTGAAGCTGTTAAAACAACCACAAGCACTAGGAAGTGAAAAAACAGCAAGAGATGGAATTTAGGTGACTGTACATTGCATATATAGCTGCAATCCACCAAGAGATAACATCCTGTAGAACAGAGGCAGAGAAGCTGAAAGAAAAGAAATGAGGTTGAAGACATCCCCTATGAATTTGGCTTAACTATCATTGTGGTACCTGAGAATGGTTGCTCCAAACCAAATTTTGGTAGGAGGAGGCAGTTTTGAGAGGGGAGAGCACTTCCTGTGAGTTGATGGGGTCCAAGGCCTGAACCACCTTGTTCATGGGCCCACTGTAGGTTCTCACTCTCTCATACACTACATTTTTTTCTGGAAGGTGCTGGGTTTGGCTTGACTGATGGTGGCAGTGGTAATGCTGGGTTTGGCACTGCGGCACCTCTGGGGGCTGCTGAGTCCCACAGCTACTGCTGCTGTTCTCATTCCAACAGCTTGAGCTCATGATGTTCTCAGTGGTCAGCAAAGTACTCCTCAGACACTCTCCCTACAGAAAAAAAAACAGAGAGAGAGAGCACTCATGAATAAGGGTAGGAAGGAAGGCAAGCATGCACATGTAGAAGCCATTTATCAACCCCCTCTGCTTATAATGGTGCCCAGGAGAGGTTAGAGTTACCTGAGCAGCAGCAGGAGCAGGTCTGGCAGCTTCAGAGGAGGCAGCAGGTATTTGAGTGCAAATGAAAAGTTGAGTCACCCTGTGAGATTGCTCCAGGAAATGGTACTGACACACCCCTCAGGGGTGGATTCACCTGGCAGGTTTACCTACCAGGAGAGGCCCTGCTTTGCCACGGAGATTCAAGGCTGCATTTGAGTAGGTAAGAGAGTTTGAAAAGAACAGAAATGTGGGATTTTTAAGGCTGAAGCCAGAGCTTCCAAGTCCACAGGCTTGGAAATTCATTTAACTGTAAATAGGCAGACAAAGACATGCTCATGCCTAAATTTACTAGAGAAAAAAAGTCACAAACATCACATGAAAGTGACTTACTCATGGTTCTTAAGCTTAGCAAAAAAAATTACAAGCATGGGTGTTATCATTCCAGAGTCCCAGACCAAAATATAAGGTATTTGCCTAAGGACACCCTAATTTTTACATATAAATTTGCATTCTTTGCAAACCCCAGCTGGTAATTACAGTTAAGGGAGATTGCTTTGGGGTCTACTTCTAGCAACTCTAATTTATGGGCCTGTGCATCTTGAACCAGGCCTAGTATGACTTTCTAGTGTACATTGAACTGGATTTGTCTAAATGATTGAATTATTGTCTATAAATGGGAGATTGGTCAAGAAAGCTGTTACCATTCCACAAATACTTTGCATTTCAGCATTTGTTTTTATTGTTTTGCATTTTTACAAAAGAATATACCCTGATTTTATATGTGCCCTAGGAAACACTGACTTTGATTTTTTTTTTAATATCTAGCTGTTAAGGGAGCTGCAAGTCCTGAGAAGTGCCTTACTTTATGTAATGAGATTTAAACATGCTCAGCACTTATTACTATTTTAAATTAGAGATCATATGGGGCGCCTGGGTGGCGCAGTCGGTTGAGCGTCCGACTTCAGCCAGGTCACGATCTCGCGGTCCGTGAGTTCGAGCCCCGCGTCGGGCTCTGGGCTGATGGCTCAGAGCCTGGAGCCTGTTTCCGATTCTGTGTCTCCCTCTCTCTCTGCCCCTCCCCCGTTCATGCTCTGTTTCTCTCTGTCCCAAAAATAAATAAAAACGTTGAAAAAAAATTTTAAAAATAAAATAAAATAAATTAGAGATCATAATGCATGCCTACTTCCCTACCAAATTTTGCCTTTCAGGATACTTTAGCATCCCTGAACTCTAGAATACTCACCAAGTGTGTCTTCAGAAAACGGGTGTCTTCCTAGTGTGTATATCCACCATAGAATCTAGCATCATCACCATCCTAGAGAAGAGGAGAATATTATTGAGCTGGCTAGCCAGGCTTTTATTTGCTAAGTGAACAAAAAATAATGATTTACTGGTCACTTACTATGACCAGGTACTGTGTGAGGAATTTTACATAGATTATCTGTCATCCTCACAACTTTATGAGGGTGTATAGGTGAGGAACTGAGGCACAGACATAGAGAGGCACAGAAATTTCCCAAAGTTAAACAACTAGTAAATGGTGGGTCTTGGATTTTAATATAAGGCAACTCATTTTAGAGGCTAAACTCTTATTTACTGTATTATTCTGCTAGATAAATTTTAAAATTGTGTTCTGCATCTGGTCATCTAACAAATCTTCTAGGTGGAAAATCAAAAAAACAGTTTTTAACTGATCCTTTTTAAGTGACTTTAAAAGGAATCTTTGGATTTTTTGTGGGAGAGAGGTGTGCAAAATGCTGAAAATCAACCTTGAAAACTCTTTAAAATAATTTATTGTATATTTACATTGTGTGCTGTGTACTTCAAATCTAATCCTTCTTCATTTTAACGCTATTCCTCAAGAATCAATGAAAATTTATTTAAGTATTTATTTTTAAATTTTTAATGTTTATTTATATTTGAGAGAGAGAAAGAGAGCGCCAGGAAAGGGCAGAGAGAGACAGAGACAGAATCTGAAGCAGGCTTCAGGCTCTGAGCTGACACAAACCCTGTGTCAGGCTCTGAACTCACAAAACGTGAAATCACTACCTGAGCAGAAGTTGGACGCTTTACCGCTGGAGCTACCTGAGCGCCCCAAGAATCAATGAAATTTTACTTAGAAACATGTGATCTGACAAACAGCTTGGCAAAATATCAGATTGGTAACTTGCGAATATCATTAGCAGTATCATTTTGGATAAGCTTTGTGTGTGAACAGGGAATGGGTAAGTGAGGTCATCCAGTCAGCTCTGATTGTTTAACTCTGGATTTAAAATACAAACACATATACATAGTACTGTTAATATCTTCAGCCAAGAGGTGGCCTAGTAAATAAAGAGAAGGAAAGAAATAATAAAAATTCCTTCATCCATAAAATGGTGACCATACCTTCCCTCTTTTTGAGGCAGCCACCTTTATGCATTTGGGCAAAAATTAATGTGTTGGTTCCCTGAGCCTCATCCATTATTCTTCCCCATGGGCATGAAGGAGAGAAAGAACTTGAAGCTCAAAGATAGTATATAAGAAATTGGATTAGGCATTATCTGGCAGACAAACCACATCTGACTACAAAATAGATATTGACTACTTTGATTCACCTCAGAGAGGTTTATCAGTATTCTAACCAAAGTTTCTGCTCCTTTTCTGAGAATTTATTTGTGTCTTCAATGATCTGAATCTCCAATTGTCTTATTTCAACTTTATGCAGATGATATTAATACTCACCTATTTTATTAATAAATTCATATAAATATATTTGACTGTTTAATAATGGTATTTGTCTTGTTTTCTAGTTGAAAATCCAAGGGATTGACACTGAATTCTGCAAGCTTCATGATTCTGCTACCCTTCTAATATTGGTGGATAGAATAGTAAGAGTTGATTCCTTATTCTCAGCTACAGACTTGTTCATGGAATCTTTAATTATATTTCTGGCAGTTATTTTGTTCTACTCAGTAATACAGACATTTTATGTTTAGTACTGAAAAAGACTCATTTATATGATAGATTTGATTTCCTTTACAACTGATATCACTTTAGAAACTAATTTAGTTCTAACAGATTAAAAAATCTTTATTGTTCCTGCTTATAAAAATAATTCATTCTTTAAAAATTCAAGTAATTAAATAGGTGAAAAAAGTAGAAAATGAAACTTCCCATATTGATAGTGAGAGTAAGGGATGGGTTAAGAATCAGGAATGTTTGCTGTATACATTATTGGTAGTTAAAAAATAAGTGATTTACATTTTGACTGAGATGTTTTGAAGATCATCTGAAAAAGTCTTGATTTTACCTACCTCATAAAATTGTTTTTACAATCAAATGAGAAAGTGTCTGCCAATTATAATGCATCATCCATGGATAAGTTTTTAAATATATTACTCAAAGATGATGTGTATGATTTTTGTAAACTATTAGGGTTTGAAAAACAAATATGAATGTCATAGGAAGCTATAGGCCTGATTTTTGAAAAGCTTAGCTACCTAAAACCATTGAAGTAAAATACATCAGTAATTAATTTACCAAAATGGATATATAAAACTATCTTAGAATATGAAACAATATAAGTAATTATAAATTTAATACCAAATGAATTTCATCAGCATCAGCAGTAGAGTTTATATAATCCTGTACTCCACCTCTTGTTTTATAGGAATGAAGCTCAGGTCTATCTCAAGCCTTGGCCCACTGTTGAACCTCACGGTGTAATGGCAAAGGATAGAGAGTTAAAGTGAAATTACTCAAGCCTTTTTACTTCTGCCTTCTTTGTGATCAAGTAGAAGTGTGTTCATATGGAAAGGGTCCATAAGCATTGGTCAGAGGGAGCTGAAGCCCAAGGTAGTGAGATGATTGTATGAAAGCACCTATGTTTTACTAAATGGATCTAGGTCACTTGATCCAGCAGAACTCCATTCCAGCCTTTTGACAGAACTTAAAGTTGAGCTTGCTTAACTGCTGTTGGAAAACTTTAGACTAGGAAATGTTTCAAGATATCAGATATGAAAAAAACATTGTCTTGATTTAAAAATATGAATGGTGAAGTTTACAAACTAAACAGTTTAGTCTGACAACAATTCAGCCAACGTGTGGTTGATGATACACATACTTAAAATAGAGATAAGTGATCTCTGAAAGACTTTTGGTTACCCCCTATCCTGGTTTCTGAATCTTAGTCCTTAAGTAAGTGTTAACCGTGGCATAAATTTGCTCAGAACTAATTTCGATGTTACAAGAGCCACACTAGAGAAAAACAGACCTCAATTCTATACAGAGTAAATAACTCCTCAGTATGATTTTAATGCAGTTGAAAAGGGAGAAAGCTTCTATTATTCTTGCAATCCCCCAGGGATATCTGAACTTTGCTATAAAAAAGATTACTTTAAAACAGCTTTTTTCAAAGGGTGTCTTAAATTACACCAGTCTATAGAGTGTTACACCTAGGAAAGAGAAGTGTTTTGTATCCAAATGAGTTTAAGAAATAGCTGGTTAACTATACTTTGAGAAACAGCTTTATTGACAACATTATAGCTTTTCATAAGCTAATATACACTATGCGCTTCTAAATGGGTGATGTGATGTGTACAGTTTTTCAAGTTTTGCTGGTGATGGAATATATTTTCTGTGGAATAGCTTCAGTGAATTGTATTCTTCAGATTTTTTTCTTCCTTATGCTTTCTTCCTCCATACGCTTTAAACTAACTCATAAAGCAAGTGGGAATTCATACCTAATTTATAATTCTATCAATATCATTAAAACATACCAAAGACCATTTGATCAAGCCACATCACTGTACCAGTGATACTTGAAGTGAGGTCCCTGAACCAGAAGCATCAGCTTCACCTGGAAGCATTTTAGAAATGCAAATTATTGGGCCCCACCCCACATCTACTGAGTCAGAAACTAGAGGGGTGGTGCCCAACAGTCTGTTTCACAAGCTTTCCTGGTGATTCTGATGCACATTACAATTTTGTAAATCCTGAATTATACCAGTGTGTTTAGGGCAGGCTTGGATAAAAGAGGAAGATGGCAGTGCCAGAGAGATGAAACTTGTAGTGTATTGGCTAAGAACTA